CAACCCCAAAAAAAAAAAAAAAAAAAAAAAAAAGACACCTCAAAGAACGCAGAGCAGGAAATGGGAGTGGAAGTTACGGTCTTGTTCTGGACATTGAAAACCAGCACCCATTAGTTAAGTCCACGTGTTCCAGTTCGGGGCTTAGAAAACACACGTGCTGTTGCTCTATTGAAGGACTTTGTGCACACCTAAGGCCCGGCAGGGGGACTCCTCCTTGCTTGCTTGGTTGCAGTAAATTGTCACACTTGGTGGGGGACATCAGGTTTGATCAAGGGTCTCTGTCCACTGTTCATTCAGTTTTACAAATGAGTATTCTCTAACATTATTTGACACATCGCAGCAAAACCCCACATTTGGTTTCCCCCAAGTAAACTCATATTTCTAGCGATTGAATACAAGTCTCTTATTGGGGTGATATTTCAAAGAGCATTAAATCAGATCTTGTACAATGAATATGCATCACATCTATACGGTAAAGGCTCTCCTAAATAAACATGTCTTATTGCTGTTGTGAAGGCTCTTCTGAGACTCAGAAATGCAAGTCATTGTCATGTGGGGCACAATGATGACAGCCTAATAAGACAGTTTTAGGGTGGCCTCCCCCACCAGAGAGTTGCCATGGCCCAGGAGCCTTTCTGGACCTCTTTCTGCACGCTGCTGGACTGTGAGCCGGCCTATGCCAGAAATGCCCTGGCTCTTCCTGGGCCTGGCCAGTCCTGCAGGCACACCCAGCAGAGGGCGCAATGGCTTTAGAGCTTTAATGCAAAAAGCCCACTCTGAGTCTGCTCTTCAGGACCTGAGGTTCTAAGAGCTCTGCGGTGGTTTTTTTTATTTTTTATTTTTTGGAGAGGTTTTCGCTATAGGGCGCATGCCAGACAGAGAGAGACATAGAGACAGAAAGCGAGAAATCTCCCCCCAGGGGGGATGGTCACGCTGCAATCCCTTCTCCTCCATTCTCCTCTCGGGATCTCGGGCACACACGCACTCGCGCCCGGCGTGAGATTTAAGCCACCGGGTCCAAGATGCGAACCGCGGTCGACTACGTGGGAGTCCAGCGACATAGCCATTACGCTAACTGCTGGTTCCCTCTGCGGTGGTTTTAAGAACAAAGTCTAGAAAGACTTTTTCTGCTGGGATTCTGCCTGCATTCTCCATGTAATTCAAATATTCATATTATAATTTTGAAAAAAAAATTTAAATCTATTTCGAGAACATTTGTTCTGAGAAAAGCGGGAAGAATTTTTAAGTTAGATTTTATCACTTCATACGAATTTCCAAGAATGTGAGATGATCTTAGCGATTAGAGGCAGGCACAAATCACACGGGATTATTTTAGCCAAATAGCCCTAAAAACAAAACAATGCGGATCTTTCTGAGTGGTATTACCAGCCGACTCCGTCAGGCGGGCTGCAGGCACTGCATCTTGCATCGGCTCTATGGCGGGTCTGGACCGTGGAGATCTGTTTCAGTCTGTTCTCTGCTGCTTAATAGCTGCCTGACTTATGAAGGCCAGAGGTTTAGTCAGCTAATGATTTTGGAGGTCCCAGGTCAAGGGGCTGCATCTTGTGAGAGGGTCTTTGTGGTGGGACTCTGCGGTATCCGGAGGAGGAGCAGGGCGTCACGGGGACAGCTGGTGCCAGCACGGCTGTGTGTGGGTCTCTGCACGTCTGCGTCAGCTCTGGGCTTTCTCCCTCTCGTAAAGCCGCCAGGGCTTCAGACATGGTGGCCACACCCTGGTGACCCAAATCCTAATCATCTGCTGAAGGCTTTGCCTCATAATCACCTCTTATTTTTATTTTTTTTTTAAGAGAGATTTTTACAATAGGGTGCATGCGCTCACTGGAGAGACGGGAAGAGGCAGAGAGACAGAAAGTGAGAAACCACCCTCCAGGGGGATGGCCATGCTGCAATCCCTTCTCCATTCTCCTCTTGGGATTTTGGGCATGCAGGCACACGCATCCAGCATGAGTTGTAAGCCTCAGGTCTGGGACTTGAACCGTGGTTGACTATGTGGGAGTTCAGTGATGGAACCATTACACCATCTGCTGGTCTCTCCACACTCTTTTTCATTATATTGCATTTTTAAAAGTTTTGCCATAGAGCAGTGGGCTCACTGGAGAGAGACAAGGAGAGAAAGAGAGAGAGAGAGACAGTGAGGGGGAAAGTGAGAAATCACCCATCAGAGAGGAATGGGCATGCCACAATCCCTTCTCCTCCATTCTCATCCCTGGATTTTAGCATATGAGCACATGCACCAGGTCCAGGACTCAAACCCTGGCCAGCCATATGGGAGTTCAGCACCTTAACCACCAATCTCCACACTCTTAATACCATTACAATGGCTTACTGAGTGTTAATACGTGAAATTTGGGTGGGCACATTCAAACCCTAGAAGAATCCTTTTTTTTTTTTTTTTAAGAGAGAAAGAAAGGTTTTTGCTGTGGGCATATGTGCTTGCCAGACACACACACACACACACACACACACAGAGAGACTGAGTCCCGGACCTGGTGTGAGCTTTAAGCCACTGGGTCTGGAACTCAAACCATGGTCAGACATGTGGGGGTCCAGCACCTAAACCACCATGCCACCTGCTGGTCCTGTAGAATCCCTCTTGAAGAGGCTGGGAGGGCCTCCCTGAGGCACTGTGGTGTTCGCTGTGGGGCTGAGTTGGCAGAGGCCTGAGGGGGGAAGGGAATCACCGGGACTTGGAGCAGGAGGCCTTCAGGGCACGAGTGCAGTGCCTGAGAACTCCCGAGTGGGCCTGTCCCCCACCTCCATGCTGACACACCACACACGTAGCCTGTGCCCTCCCACACACCTCTTGCTACACACACACTGTGCCACATACAAGTTCCGTCTGTCCTCTGGGGACACTGATTCTGGCTTGCATGTCAGCTCACCACTTGACCACTGTCTATTTTTGGAACAGTTTTTGTGGTTCAGAAGTGATCAAAAGAGACTGCGTGTGTGAAATTTTGCCTTCAGTTAAACCCAAGCAAATACTTTTGCAAGTACAAATATATTCAGATTTGTTCCATCCTTGTGTGGCAAGAAAGGGTGAAGATTTTCCACTCCTTAAAAAGGGTTCTTTCTGTTTACAGAATCATACTTGACAAAGCATTCCTGGGCTTTCAAGCAACACACTGGAACACGTTCAGGAGTTGGCACCCAGGCTGGGTTTTCTTAAAAAGCGAGGTGTTCTGAATGCACGGCTGTGGTGTGGCCCCACAGACCCTCAGCATATTCCAGCCAGCCGGGCTCTGACTGCTCCAGGCCCAGGGAGCTGCTGAAGGCCTGGTCATAGCCACCTTCACTTTATACCAAGGAGGAGGCAGCGCCTGGCGTGGCTTCATGCCTGGACCCTGGACCCTGGGCCCTGGCTGGGTCTGGCAGCCTGATCTAGAATTCGCCTCACCTGGTCTCCTTGGGACATTCCCTAGGGACCTTGTAGGGGGCCTTCTCTAGTCCAGGCTTCCCCTCAAGCCCCAGGATCTCTGCTCCTCCCTGGGGAGTAGAAAGATGCTGCTGCTTCTCCCCTGCAGACTGTCCCAGGAGTCGGGGCTTGTGGGAGGGTGATGCTTCTCCATACTGTTACTCTTTCCACACCACGTACGTGCCTTTGAGTTCCAGACACTGTGGGCCCGCCAGGGAAAGGTGAATAAGGCCCAGAGAACTGTGGTCAAGAATCTGGCTCGGAGGCTGGCAGGTGGTGTGTGGTTAAGGTGCTGGATTCCCACATGGCTGACTACTGTTTGAGTCCCAGACCTGGCGGCTTGCTTTCTCACTTTCCCATTTTCTCTCTCTCTGGTCAAATTAAAAAAAATAATAATGACAAATAGAATTAAATAAATAATTTAAAAAAGAAGAAAAATCTGACTCATGGAGGGAGGCCAGCATTTGGTCGCCATGGAGCAGAAACACTCTGTGGGGTGCCCTGGGCTGGGTCTACCACGTGCCTAGAGGGTGAGGCAGAGAGCAGGGTGGGCTTCTTGGAGGAGGTGTGCCTGACTTGATGGCTAGGAGCACATGAGTGTCAGCCGTGAAGAGGCCGGGGGAGAGCCTGGCCAGCTGGAAGCATCCCGGGCAGGCCTGGGCTGCAGGAGCAAGGGGACAGACCTGGCGGCTTGCTTTCTCACTTTCCCATTTTCTCTCTCTCTGGTCAAATTAAAAAAAATAATAATGACAAATAGAATTAAATAAATAATTTAAAAAAGAAGAAAAATCTGACTCATGGAGGGAGGCCAGCATTTGGTCGCCATGGAGCAGAAACACTCTGTGGGGTGCCCTGGGCTGGGTCTACCACGTGCCTAGAGGGTGAGGCAGAGAGCAGGGTGGGCTTCTTGGAGGAGGTGTGCCTGACTTGATGGCTAGGAGCACATGAGTGTCAGCCGTGAAGAGGCCGGGGGAGAGCCTGGCCAGCTGGAAGCATCCCGGGCAGGCCTGGGCTGCAGGAGCAAGGGGAGTGGTGCCATTGGAAGAGGCCAATAGGGCCTTGCAGTCTAGGGCGCTGATCAGCTCATGCAGGGCACGGCCATTCTCACTGGCCATTTGGAAAGGTCGCTGCTCCCGTGAGGAGCAGAGGCTGAAGGGCTGGAGTCTGCAGCAAGTCAGCTGGGAGGAGCTGGCGGCTGGGCTGGGACAGGGAAGTTAGACAATGGGTGGAGATGGAGAGGAGGGGACCAAATCAGGACAACTCAAGGCAGGGGACGGCCCTTGATGTTTGACTGGTGGTGACTCAGGACAGGGTGGGGTGCCATCTGCAACCTGGGATGAATGGAAGAACACCTTCCCAGTTAACAGACAGACCCCTTCTCCAGCATGAGGGGTTGTTCTTCACAGGTGACGCTTTCTGCGGCTTAGGAAAAGCATACTCTGAGCGAGATGGCAAGGATCATAAGTTGCTAGAGAAACAACTGACCTTTCCAAGTGCATTGTTTCTTTTTCTTTTCTTTTTTTTTTTTTTTTTTTGGAGAGCTTTCTGCTATAGGGCGCGTGCACTCACCAGAAAGATAGAGAGAGACAGAAAGAGAGAAATCACCCCCGAGGGGGGATGGCCATGCCACATTCCCTTCTCCTCCATTCTCCTCTCGGGATCTTGGGCATGCATGCACATGTACCTGGCGTGAGTTTAAGCCACTGGGTTCAGGACTCAAACCATGGTCAACTACAAGGGAGTCCAGCAACATAGCCATTACGCTACCTGCTGATCCCCACATCTTTTATTTTATTTAAAAAGTTTTTTTTCACATCTTTTATTTTTGAACCTCTTTTTTTCAGGTAGTAAAATTAGTGTCTACGGGTGTGGTTTCTGCTGTTTTCTTTTTTTTTTTTTTATACAACATAATGGGTTTGTATTTAATATAGTACTTCTCACCATGAGAACGTGACCTAATTAATTAATTAATATAAAATTTTTGTTTACATTAAATCTCTTTTTCCATTTCAATGTTAATATAAAGTTTTTTAAAATTAAATCTCTTCTCCATTTTCATATTGGATACATTGAATACATTTTTAAAACTTTTGTCCTACAGAGATAAAAGTTTAAATTTTTAGCTAGTTGACACCTAAGAACAATATTAACTCGAGAGATAAAACGAAAATCCAATAAAAACATGAAGACTTCTTATTGGGTCAGGAGGCAGTGATTATAACTGAGCAGTCGGCGACTCCCCTGGATTCTGGGCAAGAACTTACTTATTTCATGTGCTTGACAATCGTAACACTATGAAATATTACTTATGTCAATTTTAGCCATCTTACTTTGACCTTTCTAACCAGCAAACACAAATTATAGGCTGCATTTTTAAGTGCATTATTTGTTGTAAAAAAAAAAACAAAAACATTTTCCCCCTACTAAGACATCAATTTATTTCCATTTTATGGGAAACAGCTAGGAATGTGAAAGTACCCTATACCATTTGGGGAAACTCAGACATCAATGCTCAGGTTTAGCCTCAACTGCACAAAGGTTTGTCAGGGTGAAGCTTGAGTGTGAAGGCCCTTCCAAGTCCTATCTGCCCATTTCTCTCTCGTGCACATGCACCTAAGCGAGCACAGATGCCTGTGATGCTGAGGACCGCACCTCGCAAGAGCGTGAGGGCATCTCCAGCTTCCACGGCTTCCACAACGGGCAGCACCGAAAGCAGTGAAAGAAGCACTAAGACCAAGTGTGTTGAAACTGAGGTCATGGTGTTGGGATCTTGAGGGCTGAAGGTTCCGAGAAATGGTGTATATATATTTATATAAAATCCTATCTTATTTGAAATATTCCCTTCTTGGAGCTCCGGATGCAGAGGCTAAGAGGTTCCATGTGACACTGCCTTCCAGGAAGCAGCCATTACAGGAATGGCGAGTCTGCTGTTTTCTTTGTCTTTAAGTATTGCGTCATGTTTAAGTGACTTGAGGGAGCAGAGAGCCCCAGCAGAGCCCCTAACAGAAGCCTTGCTACTTCTCCCATACAGATTTGCCATGTTCCACAAGGTCAGGGTTCCTCGCAAGAACCTGCTGGACCGGACTGGAGGCGTCACCCCCGAGGGTACCTATGTCACCCCCTTTAAGGTAGGATTCCAGTGGGGAAGTGTGTAGGGCCTCTCTGGTGCCTCCCAGGCAGGGCCTGGATACTGAGTGCTTCTCCCTCCAGGCTTGTGTGGGAGAGACCCCACCACCTGAGCCAGGCAGGGCTGGGGTATACGTCCCCTGGTTCAGGTTCTGGCACCTTCCAGGAAGGAGACTCAGGTCAGCCACATCATCAGTGTTGGTGTTTAGGGGCTAAATGGGCCTGAAAACTGATACTGGCTGACCAACTACCCAAGGCGTCCACTCCCCCTTGGGGTTACAGTTAGAGACGGCCGCCTTCTAGTACTAGTTTTCTAAGGGCTCAACGGGGAAGGGTTGCCTGGTGGTAACAAGTAGGGTTCTCTGGTGTCCCGCACTCACTGCCCCCTTAAATCCCTTGGGAGTAGCAGAGGTGATGGTGTGGCCCTGGGCAGAGATGGTAACCAAGTGGTAATCGTTGCCCTCAAGAATCATGAACTCACAGACAGGAAGACTGTACGCGGGGTCTTCTAAAAGTTTATAGAAGGTACACATGAAAAAACTATACATGGATTTCCAAATTTTGTTTTGCCCAAATAAACGCATACTTTAATTCCATTTTCCACCAACTTTCTGAAGTCCCCTCACATCCTAAAAATATAGGCTTTGTCACATTCCCTGGTGATGCACACCACTAGCCTGGACCAGAAAGAGCAAGAACTGAAAATGAATTAGAGAAATACACTTGAGGAAAGCAGGAGAGAAATAGCAACATGGAACAAAGTCATTGAAAACATGGAACTATTCATCTATACATTAATTAATGAAAAATTAATCGAAAAGTAAAATAATTGAAAGAATGTCATTGATGGATGGGCTCGATGCTAGCAAAAGGGTGAATTAGAGAATGGAGAATTGTCACCCAAAAGGCAGCAGGAAAGGGTTAAAGAAGTGAAGAAGAGATAAAGCTTTAAGAAGCGTTAGAGATCCATGTCTCTCAATCAAGGAAAAGAAAAAAAAAAAAAAAGAAAGAGGCCAGCCAGTGGCATGGTGGTTAAAGTGGTTGGATCCCTCATGGCCAATCACAGGTTCATATCCCAGACCTGTTGGTTTGAGAAACACACCAGGCATGTGTGCATGTGTGTCAAAATCCTAAAGGGAGGGAGAGATAGAAAAGATCGGTGTATAACTGTTCCCTATAAGGGATGCTCTCTCTCCCTCTCCCTCCCTCCCTCTGGGGAGCTCATGCACCATCCAGAAAATTGAAAAGAGAGAAAGAGAGAAAAAAAGAATACTTTGATTGACGGGACCGATGGAATACCAAGGTAGAAAAATAAAGAACCCATATTCCCAGATGCATAGTGGGAAAATTTGAAAACTTCAAAGAGAACATTCTGAAATCTTCCAGAACAGAACTGATTCCAGTAGAATAAAGTCACTTAAATGTCCTATTTCTCAACCCCAACACCGAATGTAAGACAGGGAGATAATATTTCACATCACTAAGGGAAATAATTTTAGGTATATATTTCTAAACCCAACTGTCACTCCTATGAGGATATAAGAAATATTCTCAGACTACCTTTGGAAGGTAGCCACTCAGACACCACAGTGTTCTGGAGGAAGTGCCTATTTAATAGACGACCCAGGAGAAGCAGGGGGAGACAGGCAGGAACAGTGCCGGTAACCAGGTCGCGGGTAGGGAGTACGGCTCAGGTGGTCGCAGGCAATGCCTGTGGGAATAGGCCCCGAGGAAAGGCACACAGTAGTCACCCATTTCACAAGCACACAGAGAACAAAGGATTCATTAAGTCGCTTGGAACTGCTAACCTGTGTGGGGAGGAGGATTCCCCGGGCGGGGATGAAAGCAATGCATTCCCTAAACAAGGCAGTGGCGCTGGTGTAGTCCTGGCCCTCTAACGGCACACGCTGCTTCTCACTTCTACCAAGGCGGGAGGCAGGGCCTTGGCACTCCCGGCAGTCGTGGGTTCCCCAAGAGGATGCACCCCTGCACAGTACTGTCTGACCTGCCCTTCGTAGGGTAGCTGGGTGTCCCCACCTCTGGGTGCCTCCCATCCCACCATTCATCAGTGACACGGTACCATCTCATACCTATGGGGCTGAGTGTCTGGGCGCCCTGGGGCAGGGCCTGACGAATGGGCTTGAGCTGGAACACAGGAGCGCACCGCATGTTCGCGTGATCCGAGAAGCACAGCAGCCTGGCTGGCGCTCATCATCACTTTTCTTCTCTAGGATGTCAGGCAGCGGTTCGGAGCCTCCTTGGGCAGCTTATCCTTTGGTCGAGTCTCCATCCTGAGCATGTCCGTGGCCAACTTAAAACTGGCCGTGTCTATAGCGCTTCGTTTTTCTGCCACTCGGTGTCAGTTTGGACCAACAGATGAAGAGGAAGTGCCAGTACTTGAGTATCAAATGCAGGTATAGGTTTTTCAAATATCCTTTATGTCCTTCCCATTCTGTTTACAAATAGCCTGCTGCTTCCAGGTAGTTGCAGTTTGGTTACTGGGAGTTGAACGAAGCTCTTAAGGCAGTTAACAGGACAGTTAAAAGGAATGCAGCGTCTGAGGTAGTAAGGCTTCTAGTAAATGGTTTTTAATTAAAAAGGAGCCTCTATGGAGTAGCCAAACTAAGGCAAAGGGACAGAAGCAAGTCCGGTGAGGTGCTGGGGAGGCAGGTGTGTGTACCTTCTGCGTGTGCAGGTGAGGCACCACAGGCCTTGGCAATGGTGGCATTGCACGTCCGGGGCTCACGCTTTGGCGCGTTCATCACCTCCCAATGAAAGGGTTCCAAGAACATCCATTTTAAGCAGGGGCAACAGTGTGTGCTCCCCGTTTCTCGTGATGGCACCTGGGACTGTAAAAGGGACGCTTGTGCCGTGGCTGTGGCAAAGATGCAGTAAAGCCTGGGCATTATTCCGCAGCGGGGGACGAAGCTCATCACAGAGACTGTCCCCAAGGTGCTCGTGTGGCGCGAGCCCTTCCTGCCGCCATTTGCCCTTTGCAGCTAGGCAGGCTGCAGGCGAGTTCTGTTCACAGGCGCCAGAGCTGGGATCAGAGGTGCCTCCAGGTAAAGCCCGGTAGTGAAATCTGGCCCAGACGTGAGGCACGCTGTGCATAAACCAAGGTATATGTGAGTGGAAGTTTGAGGAAGTTGTCACCAATTGGCTGTTGTGTCTTTTAATGTTCCTTTACTGTGGCTGTGAAGCTGGTTTAATAAGGAAACAAATAAGGAAAAGCAATGTCCCGGCTGCTGGGCGTGCAGCACACAGCTCCCTCCCACACAGTCCCCAAGGTCCCTGTGCAGTCAGGGCCTCTGGTCTGGATGACGAGGGTAGTTCGTGGTTAGAGAACCCGCTGGAGCCATGGTGTTCGGGCTCAACTCAAGGCCACCCTGACTGCTGTGTGCCCCCGGGCGAGGTGCTTCCCCTCTCTGTGCTCTGCATTTCTCATCTGTAAGTTGATGCTGATGGTGACCTCTTGCTAGGGTGGTCGTACAAGTGAAATAAGTGACACGTGAGAGCAGCTGATGCGGCGTCTGGCCAGCCCTCAGCGAGGTCAGGCAGTGGTGGACACAGGTTCCCAAGGCATTCTCAGGCTTCTGGCCCGTCCCCCCTTGCTGTCTTCCATCCCTCCTTTCTCTTATCCCTCCCCCCGTCCGTCCTTACATTCATCTATCCCTCCATCACCCATCCATCTGTCCATCCACTCATCACTCCAGCCCTCCAGCCTTCCTGCCCTGGGTGTGGCCCGTCTCATGGCTGGTGCGGTGCGGGGCATGTACAGGGAAAGACATGTTCCCTGCCTTTGAGGAACCTGTGGCCCTGTGCCAGCCTGTTTTCCCACCCAGCTCAGGGGCGGCTGCTCCGTCTTTCATAGGTTCATGGAGCATGTGGTGCCAGTCAGTGAGTCTGTGTGCCCGGCAGGGTCAGCCCCCGGAAGGTTGGCTTTCCTAGTTCACGGGTGGATTGGTGCTTTGTTTACTCGGATGGGACAGCGGAGGGAGGTGGACGTTCAGGCAGTCTGCTTGGAAGGTGTCCACCGGGGTGATGGATTCAGGCTGAGCAGCACAGCTGAGCTGGCTGAGTTGGCTGTGCATCAGGGTGAAGGTTTCCTAGCATGCCAGGGCCTCGGTGCTGATAGAGCGTGTCCCTTCTCCCTCCCGCCTTCCCAGTCCCTGTAGGGGTAGGGGCGCTGGCCCTGCCTGAGAGCCCAGGGTGTTTATGCAGGCATCTCGTTTCTCCTAGCAATGGCGCTTACTTCCGTACCTGGCTGCTGCCTATGCCTTAGACCACTTCTCCAAATCACTCTTTCTGGACCTGATGGAACTTCAGCGAAGCCTTCTAGGGGGAGAACGGAATGCCAGACAGGTGAGCGGTTACCCGATTTTCTCCGCAGCACTGTTCAAATTTCCTGAGGCTGAACCGGGGGCGGACCCGCACCCACTCAGCCTTTATTTCAAAACAAAAGCAGCTCCTGGGTTTGTGGGGACAGAGCCTTAGACACGCCCCTCTGGGTGTCCCACCCACTTGGCACTCTCGGCTTGCACAGTGATGTGAGCAGTTTGGGCACGCGTCCATAGTCCTATTTCTCGAGGATGTGCTGACATGGCTTCTAATTCCAGTTTGTGAGTTCAGCTGTTGTTCTTTTGAGAACCTGATGGTTTTGCAAAATCCCCATTATTAGCCCGTCAGTAGAGTTCATGGTTCTGATCCTTTCCCGAACAACTGTACAAAGGTCTGAGTCCAGCTGACTGGATTTGAGTTGACAGTCAAGGATTTGTGCCCGAAGTGAGAGCGCAAGTCCAGAGGTCGGCCTCTGTGTAAAGAGAAGTCCGTTACTGATGTTTTTGTAGGTGGCTTACGAATTGATTTTCCACAGACCCCCTCGTGCTGACGCAAAAGGAACATGTTTGAGAACAGATTAGATATGCTACAGATTGGGCTTCGGTGGAACATCCTAAAAAGCGGTGGCAAATTTAGCATATTTTAGAATATTCAGCATAAAGATTAAGGAGCCCAAGGTAAGGGTATACAGGGATGAGCAGGAAGAGTCACCGCAGAGCAAAACAGGGATCTAGTGGGGTCTTGGGAGGGAGCGTTTCATGGGAAATGAAGGAGTTAAGCATGTTTTCCCCCAGCACGAGTCACTGTCACTTCTGCCAGCTCCGTTCGCTCTGCGCTCCTGTTAACACTGAAGTGCAACCATCCTGTATTCTTCCCGAAACTCGGTGGTTTAACCAGGCACAGTGAGACCCACACGGAGCCCCTTATTTGAAGTTGAAGACACTAGTAAAATGGATCGCTTTTTTTAGCAAGTGTGTATCTCTTTACCTTTGGTGT